ATGTATGTATGTATGTATGTATGTATGTATGTATGTATGTATGTATGTATGTATGTATGTATGTATGTATGTATCGCTAAACGCGCGAGAAAACACGAGAGGAAAGAAAATTGACATGGGCGAGAATCACCAACCCAAGCACTGTTTAAATCGATAGACTTCCTCAAGTGAAATACACGTGTCTAAATTTTAAGACGGGCCAAAATTAGCATCCTCAAAATCTTTGTAAGCATAGGTTATGATCCCCACACCAAAATCGCGCGGAAATTCCGCGCCACGCCCGGCAAGTATACATATAAGCGAACAGTTGCCATAGTAGTAAGCTTTCCCTTTGCGATCAACGTTAATAGTATTTAGTCCAAATCTGTAGTTATTTTTCTCTTTCTTCTATTTAGCTGTCCGTTAGGGGGAGCATCGCGTCTGGCCTTAGGCAGTAAAGACCCAGTTACACCCAATTGAGCTGGTGTGTATTTAGTATCCCAAAGTTATCCCAGTAGGGTTTTATAAGGTACATAATCAAATTCAAGTGTTTTGTTTTTTTTTTACCGTAATCAATGAAACGAACAAATTTCAGCCGTTCTGTAGTGAACTCTACCTGTCCTAATGACTCATGTGCGTTGAGGTAGTTCAAAGCTTGTTCAATCGGTCCACCTCGTTGTATTATAGAGTTGAGAAAAGCCTCTTGATTCGCCTCGACATTATCCTGTAGTAAGGCTGAGGAAACAAACAAACAAACAAACATAAATAGAGTTAACGTTTATTAACTGTCTTACTAACAAAGATTTTGACGGAATCCGTGGGTAGTACGGGAAAATAATGCCCTAGAATTAGCCAATCAGAGCGCGTGTTACATCGGCTACAAACACAAGCCATAGAATAAAACCGCATATTGCTTTTCTAAAAGGAACCATATATCGGTATTTTCACGCCCAGTTGAGCACGGTTGTTTAAAGACTTAAACGTATCTTGTATAGAAATAAAATGTGCCGTCCTCGTCCTGGAAAACAGCTAAACGAACGAACAGAGGCTGGTAACCGTGCCCAATAAACCACACAAAGAGAAATCCGTGACGCGCCCTTGTTTACTTCATCTAACTCGACTCTATTGGAAAGCTTTTTGGGATCACTCTAAAAAAAAAATGAATTACCTCCGAACAGTCTAAACACGTCGGAATTAAGTTTGCCTTGCCCAGTTCCAATCACCGTAAACAAGGGATTTTTACCGACCATGTCAACAGTTAGTTCTGAAGGAACTCTAAGATTGTTTCCCGCAGCGTTCCATATATTTTGGCACGCATCTCCAAGATCTTTCGGGAGCTGGGATGAGGGAGCCGCGGAGCCTAAGCTGTGAAATAGAATGGTTTATAACACAGCTGGTAAGAGGTACAAATATTTTATAAGAGAGAATCTCATCACTTAGGCTTAGCAATTCGAAATAAAGGCAGCAGAAGATATAACCCCCCACACGGTCTTCTTCAGTCAAGTGAAGAAGACTGTAAATTGAAATACGGTCGAAAGCTATATTTCAGACCTTGTGACGAAAAAAAAAATTGTACTCTATAAATACAATTTTGAAAAGAGTTACCTTCTGCTAAAAAGGGAAGTAAGCATGAAGAAAAAGAAAAGCTTTGCCATCCTTTAAATGAATAACCCGAAGCAATGGTGTCTTTCTTTGAAATCTGTTAAATCTACCATAGTCCTTCTATAAATCATTCACTTGTGCTCTATGCCCTGTTAAATGGTTACGACGAGTTTAGCATGTGACCACTATCGGAAAACGAACAAGAAGCACTCCATTAGTTATGCATAAAAGACGTTTCCAGCAACAGAACAAATATTGACTGAACAAAAGAACAAATATTGACTGAATTATGGAGTAACGACATTATCTACATCTACATCTACATTACAGGGGTCTTGCAAAGGGAGGCATGCTCTCATCACTGCAAGACATTAAATAAAAAAAAACTGCAAAACTTCCAAATCGACATTCCTTGTTTCCTAATAATAATAATAATTCTTCTCTAATTCTTCTCGTCTTAAATTTACTTTACCAGTAACAAGCTGACAAGTTCCATATATAAAACTTGTTATCTTTGAGGACTATCGGTCGTTTACTCAGCCTTTTTCCTTACTCTTCAATTGAGAAACGACTGGTAAGCACTGGTACCGACAATTTTGGTACTTCTCAGACCTCAAGCTCTTTCGAATGCTAAATAGTTCAAGGAAAGTAAAATTTCGTCAGACCTGATTCCAAAGTTTCACCCTATTAATGGAAAGTCCCAATCAATAAAAGCCAAGTGATTTAGTCTTTGTAGCTCTTTGTAATTGTATAATTTCAATACCGGAAGATATGCCTGCGGTATTTGCCTCATTCGCAGTAGCATTTCACTCCGTGACCAAACTTAAAAATTATCAACTCTTGTTATTAAAAGAGAAATCGTAGCCTAAATCATTAAATGTTTTGTGTGTGATGAGGTGGGCCAGTTTAAAAACGTCAAATGAAAACGAATTTATCTGGGCCGATTAGTGCTTTTTTTCACCCAGATTCGACCACATGAGCTAAAACCTACACTAATCACCAAGTTTCAGTAGCCTTCTAAATGTTAGAAGCCAATTCGTATCTACGATGAAACCTCGACGCAACGTCGTATGTTAGTAAATAGTAAGGCAAAATTTTAACAGATACGCCAGCAAAAGTCCCCTATACCACTAAGGATTCTGTTTTGGATTCAGTTCGACAAAACGTGAGACATGTATCATTACGCTCGGAAGTACATGTAGGTCTGGTTGGTTGGTCAAACCTTTCTTACTACTCTAGTAATCCTTCAGTCAACTAACAGCAGCAACGTAAGGCGAAAACGTAAGTATTATAGAAAAGGCCGGCAACCCTAACTCTATCCTTAACATTAGCATTGTTTGAGGTGCGACAAGGCGTGTAGTACTTGAATCTAAAGAAATGACTGGGCGTCTAATCGTACAGGTACGGTATTTGCAAAACATGGTTGATAATTTCCTTAATTTGCTTGGTTTCTCAAAAGAACACATTCTCAAAATGGACTTGTAATTTTATTTCATTTTACGGTCGTGAACACCCCTTCAAAACGAATAAATACCTTACTGTATGAGACAGAATAATACTATAGATGCGTTCTTGTCTTTGGAAATTAAGTATTCATTTAAATGTTTTTATTTCAAGACTCCATTTGTTCTTGTTAATTTTGCTTTTGTTTCTGTCTTTTCCATTTACTGTGTATGGCACCTTAGGTTTTCATTTTTCAAAAAATGTTCAGATCTTTTTCTGAAAAGTGATTGTATATCCCTGACACAATAACACTTATATGCTGCTGTTGCATTCAAGTTAAATGTTTCATAACATGAAGTCACCTTGAAAAGGCTAGCCCAATAAAAACTATGGTTGCCCTCAGTGCTTTAGTCTTCCTTGAACCATTTTAATGTATTACAAAAAAATTGTCTTACGTACTTAAGAACCAACGGTAAAATCGCTGTATGAAATTCCTCTCAATTGAGATATGACTGAGTTCTTTTACAAAAAAAAAGACATCTATATATAATAGTAATAAATTACTAACCATATTCACCATGGAAAAGCTCTAAATTCAACGGACTTCTCTTGCAAAATGGTGATTCATAATCAACTTATAATCAAAGCAGTACTCTTGCGACTGAAGTATCACGTTCAGAATTCTACGCTTGGGGAGATTTTTGCAAGTATGTTTCTGTCCCTCATGGTTAGCCGCAATTGGGGAGGAATAAAGGTGTTAGCAAAATTGATACTCTTTCGACGCGTTCCTTACAAACGTAACCGGTATTTCTTGTGTTCGAGAAAGCTGGTACCTTTACCCGTGCCTTAATCGCATTGTTATGCTCTCAAGATTTTCACGAGTTTTTATTCCTAATAGGAACTAGTCAGAAGCTTTCTGAGGTTAGTTAGCGAAGCAGTTACTCAATCGCACTGACCTGCAACGACTTATAATTTGAATAATTATTGAGGTGTCCTTTTTCACTGAGTTAATCAGGTTCCAGAAATGTATACGCTTGCGATTGGCCTTTCACTGTAAGAAAACTAATAAGTGGCGCATAATGAATACAAAGTTGCTTGAAGAGCATTTTGCTGAATGACAGCATCGATCACTTCTCCAGGAATTCAATTTGATTAATTTATGTTCTGATAACATACGTTTAGGTTGGTTTCGTTAAAATATGACTTGTTGGGACGTTCGTGATTTCCCACATGAATCGAGTAGAAAATGAGCAGCCACTTGAAGCCTGGGAGAAGGTATGCGTATTTCATTGCAATATCCGTTGAACATAGATTCAGCACTTTGCTGTTACGCTTGAATTGAAGTAATAAGTGACTTTGCTCTGAATGCAACGCAGTTAACTTGGCTCGGATAACGTTCGGGTTGCGGTGCAAAAAAAAATTTATTCGCTACTTTTCAAGTCAAGAGTGAAAGCGTATTGCATGTCAGAAAGATGCCCAAGTATATGAAGCCATCTCAAAATTAATCAGCCAAGTAAACTTGTCAGCGTTGTTTAATTTTTGAGTGCAATCAAAGACGTGTTAAATTTCATTTCATTCGTGCGAGAAGTGATGATCTTCGGGACATGACTCTCTGCAAAGCCAACAAAGCTAGAAGCAACATCAATTAATTCACTCCTTGATTATGTTATAACCGACCAGTAGCTAAGTATCTGTGAAAACGCCTATTTAAAATTTGTGCCACTTGGAAGCATGATTTATTACTTATAGTGATGGGCTATTTACGAAACTGACTACCCATAGGTATAACACGTCCTTTGTAAAGGGTGGCGAATGGTCCTTTAAAAACTCTGGGTCTCGCAAAATTTTAGTCGAATTTTACCCGACTCGCAGTCTCGTTTTTTTTTTTAGCGATTATGTGCGTCTCGCAATCTCGATCTTTGTACGAAGCTCCTTCAGAGTCCCACTTTTTGCAAGGTTAAGGGTTTTGTAGTCCCGATTCGTTTTTTTGTTTGTTTATTTGTTTGTTTGTTTGTTTTTATAAATGACGTCTTCTCGTCACATGATATTGAAGTTCAATAAAGCAACTTTCAAATTTCCGAGAAAAACGTTAATCCTAACTTTTTCTAAATTGTCTGAATTTCACAAAAAGCTACAGAACTTACGTATACCGCGACGTCATTTTGGCGCGTGTTCCCTGTATCTTTAGTTAAAAATCAATTGAACTCGTAAAAATTTGGAAAAACCTCACCATGATTACGTGTTTGAAGACAAAACGTTTAGTTTCTATCTCCTTAGGGTCCGTAACATTACTATAAATTTGGTAAAGGACGCCTAGAATTACTTCCAAGTTTTACTCTTCACTATATTTTTGCCACAGCTATTTCTCTTAACTTATTTTTCAGGTCAGATTCCTCCAATGAAGTGACCTCCTTTACTGTCGTAGAAACTTGCTTTAAAGTAAATTTCATCCGTTTTGGAGGTATCTATCCAGGTATGAATTTGAATTCTCCTTTTAAAAAACCAAGTCACAGTTTTTCTTACCTTTTCCTGTACTTCAGCTCGGAAAATTTTACCTCTTCATCTTCCACCCGCCGCACGGCTGAAAAAGAATCTCTTTCGGGCGGAGCCTCTCCATAAAGTCCATTATAGGCAGTTATCACCCCACCTCCAATACTGCTTTCTAACATTTGATTTCTGGTGGCTTACATTTAACAAGATTAATTTTAATATTCGTGTTTTTTTCTCTCGTTTATTGCATATGCATGTTGTCTGTCTGTCTGTCTGTCTGTCTGCCTGTCTGTATGTATGTATGTCTTTCCCTTTGTCTGCTTTATTTGTTTATTTGCTTGTTAATTTCTTTGTTTGATTTAGCAGCCTCCGAGCTCACTGCTCTTTGCGAAGACGAATACACGACTGTTATAATAGCAAAGTCGCTTCTTCCTTACGTTGCTCGCGAACTTCTCCGACTCGTGGACAGRGGGTGCACAGCGACTGAGACAAGTACTCACTTTTGCCTCACAACACCACTTAATGGTTGCAGCACAGCAACCATTAAGACATTACTATAACTTTGGTAAAGAACGCCTAGAATCACTTACTTACCATTTCAGCCATACAGCCAATTCTGTGATGTATTCGAACAGAGTCTTGGAAATCTTTTCAGATATAAATGTTATTGTGACGCGTGAAAAGTGCGTCGAAATATCGTTCAGCTGCCAATACTCCAAGTCTGGCGTGGGGTCTTCACTTGGTTGGAAGCCAGAAAATAACGTTGTCATTTACAACGAGGGAACGAGGGAGCTTCACGATGACTTCAGATGTGTCTCCAACCAGTGATTTTCTTATTGCTTACTCTCAGAACGATTTCCCAGTCGTAGTGCAGATCCATAAGCCTCTGTTCTTTTAGGTGTCGTTAATAGCCTGTGATAGACAGTTGACAATCAGGGCTGACCATTGTTACGCCACGCACACACAAGATCACAACAGTCTCAGGAAGTACGATTTTATACAAAAAAGGTAAGCAAAGTCCATGTACTCTAGAGAAAAATTCCACATTCAGACCTAAAGTGCCGCTGACTTATTTTGCTTAAGGACCCATTATTGTTCATTATGCTTTTCTCGCCTCTGTTATTGTTTTCCAATGCTTCACAACGTGCAATCCATCCAGAACAAAACTTGGTCTTTAAGCAGGTAATTATAAGGACTCTTTAAAACATT